GAACTTACATATAGTAATTAAAGTATTATTTTCTTTGGGGGGTATATTTTTTTACTTTTATTTATTTATTTTTATTTGTTTATTTACTTTACATCTCAAGCGTGGTCCCCTTCCTCAACTCCCAGTCCCGACCCATTTGCCTACTTCCCACTTCTCTCCTTTTTCCTCCAGAAAAGAGCGGCCCCTTCCCCTCATTTCAACCTTCCCCAGCACATCGTCACATTACACTGAGGCATATTCTCATCCCCTGAGGCCGAGCAAGGCAACCCTGCCAGGGCCGCCCCCCCCCCCCCCCCCCCCCCCCCCCCTACCTCCCCCCCCCCCCCCGCGCCCCCCCCCCCCCCCCCCCCGTGTGCAGGGTCCCAGCCTACCACCAAGCAGGTACTCAGCTAACCTGAAGTTGTCAGAGAAGCTGGCCTCTCAGACGTGGCATGGGCCCCAGAGCTCAGGAGAGGGCTGCCTGAGGGTTCCCGGGGGGCCTAAAAGCAAAACTATGGCATTGCAGAGAGAGGGACGGACAAATGATCGCCGTGAGGTCACGAGCAGAACAGACAAACGGAAAGAAGGAAACCTGCAAGTCACAGCGTCAGGCTGCCGCCAAGGAAGGCATCAGCTGGTGCCAACAGTCACAGGCAGGGCCCAGGTGGGAAAGGCCACCAGCTCACCAGGCGGCCAACATGGCTGAAAGCATGAGCCCAGGAACGGCAACGGAACAGCATGAAGGCGCCACCAGTTCCAGCATGGGTGAGCAGGATCGGCCGTTCCAGCATGGGCGAGCCCCTCCCGTCCAGCCCTCTGCAAGAAGAAAGAAGTTCCGGCACTGTTTGGGGGTGAGACGGGAAGGTATGTGAGATAGCCCGGATTGCATTCTCTGCCGTTCAGTAGGGTGTAGTTCTGATCACACACAGCCGAGTGACAAGCCTGTTGGTCAGAACTGAACACAGACGCCCTTCGGAATCCCGTGAGGGTCAGTCCCAGAACTGCAGCACCCCTGCCAGGAGTTGAGACTCCCCAGTGCTTCGTATAAAATGATGACTCTGCACAGAATTTGCCCAAACCCTCCCTGAAGGCTAGGCTATCTCTAGAAGACACACAGTATCTGATGTATAAGTGCTGTGTGAATAGCTATTAAACTGTACCGTTGGGGAGGGGAGGTAATGACCAGGAAAGACAGGCTTTCATGGACAGTGACATGGCAACTTTTCTTCTTTATTTATGTCCTATCTCTTCAATGTATGGATATTCTGTCTGTATATATGCCTGCCTGCCTGCCAGAAGATATCCGACCCCATTAAAGATGGTTGTGAGCCACCGTGTGGTTGGGGGAATTGAACTCAGGACCCCTGGAAGAACAGCCAGTGCTCTTAACTGCTGAGCCATCCATTCAGCTCTGACCAGCAACTTTTTAGAACACGCTCCATGTATTGTCACCTCCACAGAGGGGAGCCAGCAAAGGACTACAGCCTAGTGTGTAGGCTACCTGCACGCTAAGGATTGAGGTGGAGTATTTACCAAGCAAAGGCTTTTGTCCTGACGTCAGCCCTTGAGCTTTCAGAGTCTTTCTGGGTCTGTTGGTCCATACACACACAGCAAGGCCCACAAGGCTTGGAACTGCACAGTATCTGGCCCAATCTTATCTACCTCAGTAGCTAGGCACTGGCCTAGCTACAGAAGACCCTAAGTCTGATCTGCATACATGCACACACATGCACTTTTTTTCTAACACAGAAACTGTAGAATCCCAGCACTGGAGAAGCTGAGGCTGGCTGACACAAGATCAACTAGGGCTAACTAGAAAAATCAAAAACGGAAAAGAGAAACCCTAAGTAGTTTTTATTTTCATTTTTTAAAGTTACTTTTTTATTTTTTTTTATAATTTATTCATTATATATCCCAGTTGAAGCCTCCTCCCTCAACTCCTCCCAGGCCTACCCTTCCTCCCTCTTGCCCCCTATTCCATTCCCCTAGTCAACTGAAAGGGGGAGTTCTCCTCCTCTGCCATCTGCCCATAGCTTGTTAAGTCTCATCAGGACTGCCTGGGTCCTCTTCCTCTGTGGCCTGGCAAGGCTGCATTGCCAGGGGCGAGCGATCAAAGAGCAGTCAACTGAGTTATATGACAGAGGTAGCTCCTGCTCCCCTTACTAAGACACCCACATGGAGACTGAGCTGCCAATCAGTTACACCTAAGCAGGGGATCTAGGTCCTCTCCATGCATGGTCCTTGGTTGGTGCATCAATCTCTGCAGCCCCCTGGGCTCAGATTTTTTAGCTTTGTTGGTCTCCTTGTGGGGCTCCTGTCCCCTCCATGTCCTTCTATTCCACCCCCATCTTCTTCCATAAGACTTTCTGAGCTCTGCCCAAAGATTGGTTGTGAGTCTCAGCATCTGCTTTGATCCCCTGTTGGGTGGAGCCTTTCAGAGGACCCTCTATAGTAGGCTCCCATCCTGTTCCCTCTCTTCCACCACTTCTGGTGTCTATCCTGTTTGCCATTCTGAATGAGATTTAAGCATCCTCCCTAGGGTCCCTCCTTGCAGTTTAGCTTCTTTCCTAGGTCCCATCCATTTGCCTGCAAATTTCATGATTTCCTTGTTTTTAATAGCTGAGTAGTGTTATACTGTGTAAATGTACCACACAGTACTGCTTATCAACTCACATCTCAGAACACCTGAGGGCCACTTCAGAGGCCCAGTACTGGGCAGTCATGGCCACTGTGCTACATGGGCAAGCGACATCCCACCCTGCTCTAAATTTCTATTTCCAGTATCACTAAGGCTCTCCACAAGCTTGCTGCCCTGGTGCCTACTAGATTCCCTGGTTCTACCTTCCCTCTGCCTGCTCACTGTCCAGAGGCCCAAAGGAATGTAAAGGAAACTTCTCTGATGAAAATGACGGTGCAAAGGATCAGCCAATCCCACGCAGCAGCCCTCCAACTTTCACAGAAGCACCTGTGAAAATGCTGTGGCCATTTATAGGATTATTCTGGGGCATGAAAGGCACTTTCTAGCCACAGACCACTAACACTCTACAAAGAGAACTGCAAATTCAAACATTCAGATTCCTCCTGTAGACAGGATGTGAGTCAGGATTCTCGGAAAGAACAGAACCGATGGGATGGGATGGGATGGGATGGGATGGGATGGGATGGGATGGGATGGGATGGGATGGGATGGAATGGGATGGGATGGGATGAGGTATGTGTGTGCGTGTGTGTATGTGTATACTAAAAACACATACACTGTCTTACTGTTCTATTGTTGTGAGGAGACACATGAGAAAGCATCTAATTGGAAGCCTGCTTACGGCTTCAGAGGGCAGTCATGGTGCTGGAGAAGTAGCTGACAGCTACATCCTAATCAGCAGGCAGAGAGAGACACCGGGCCTGGCACAGGCTTTAGAAACCTCAAAGCCCACCCCCCAGTGACATACATATTACAGCAAGGCCACACCTCATAATCCCTCCCAAACAATTCCACTAACTGGGGACCAAGCTTTCATACAAATGAGCCTATGGGGACCATTCTCATTCAAACTACCACATTCTATTCCCCATTGGCAGCCATATCATAAAGAAAAATGTACTTAATACAAGTTCAAAAGTAACCATAGTCTTTCAATTTTAACACTGTGTTGAAGTCCAAAGTCTCTTCTGAGACTCCGCAATCTCAACTATAACCTCCTATAAAATAAGAAACCAAATTACGTACTTCCAATGGCACAGAATATGTTACTTTTTCAAAGGGGAGGGAAGGAGGACATAGTGCAGGAATACTGGACCAAAGCAAAACCAAAAGCTAACTTGGCAAACTCCAAATTCCCTCTTTATCATTTTGAAACAAGCCTCTCTTTAAACTTTGTATCTCCTTGAGCACAGACTCTGGTTCTGTTTCCTGGTGTTCTTTTCCTCTACAAACTGTACACTTTGGATCTCTTTTTGCCATACTCATTCTTTTTCCATGAAGATCCGCACAAGAGTGGCCATTAATAACCACACAACACAGTCAATACTAGGCTGTCTTGAAATCTCCTCTGCCAAGAACATTAATCTAAAATTCTTCAATAATGCTTAGATAGAATTTTAAAACAAGATCAAAAAGCAGACACATTCTTTGCCAAAATAGCCTAAGAATGTTCTCTAAGCCAAGTATGCCTTCCCCTCAGAAACTTCCTGAGGTGAGCCTCCATAGTCCACATCACCCTCAAGACCCAGATGCCTCATTTGCATAAGGATGCATTCCAGGAATCCCGAGTGCTTGCTGAGCAAATTCTTATCAGGAAAAAGAAAGGTGGACCTGGTAACTCCAATAAGGCCTATGTGACAGTCGTCCAGTAGAAGGTATTGGGGAGGGGGAGGTTTGGGCTTCCCAGGCAGAGAAGAGGAAGCCCTGCTGATGAAGGCAGTCCTCCATAGACTACAACCTTAACGGTGCAGTTCAATAAATGACCTCTAAGATATCATTCCCAGTCATGTGCCATGTTCAGAGCTGACAGGTCTGAAACCAGAGACGTGCCAGGTGTGATCACCTAGGGTTGTTCACACAGTGAAAAGGGAAAGGGTGTCAAGGACACGAGCCTTCTTCGGGGTACGGATTGGGGTGGTGGCTACAGAACCCTGAAAACCACCTTTACATTCTGTAAACTGTATTAGCAACATCTGTTTAAAAATAACGGGGACATTCTGAACACTCTTGTCCCAGCACCCTGGAGACTGAGACAGAAAGATGATCTGTTTGTGTGGCCCGCATTACACAGGGAGACCCTGCTTCAAGAAGGGTGGGGAGGCAAGTCCGTAAAGAAACTGAGTACTAAACAGAATTGATGATCTTGCGGAAACAAGCTCACCACACGCTGACACAAGCAAGGGTTCCTCAGGTCCCCTGCCCAGAAGGTGCCCTGCACCAGCCTAGTGCTGACATCCACTGTGCCACCAGCAGGGCTGGTACTGATCCGAGCCAGGGAACCTCTCTTAATCCTGTGGACATCATGCAAGTCTTAAAATTAATCTATTAATACTTAGATGGTCTTACTGAATAATAACTTTATTAAATCCCGGAGATACTTATGAGTTAATTTTCATATAAACAGAAAGTACAAAATCTTCACAACACATGAACTGCATGTTAAAGAATGAGTGGGGCCCCACACAAAGCACCCCTCAGATGCTCAGTCCATGTCCGGAGCCTGGCCTTCCTTCACAGACCCCATCTGTGAACGGGGGCCTTGTGATATCCCCGTACAGGGCTGCAAGTTCTGCTTCCTTGTGGTTGGGACCCTCCCTTCCGCAGTGGGTATGAGAAGATGCAGACTGCAATAGACAACCAAGAGCATCCCGTCCAGAGACAGCAGCTCCCTGGGGCTGAAGTCAAACCTCAATTCGACCTCCCAAGCACCGCACAGAGTTTGTCCCACAGAAAGCACACTGAATGGATGGGTGGATGGAAAGATGGATAGATGGATAGATGGATAGATGGATGGATGGAGAGTTGGATGGAGGTAGGGAAGGAGCCACAGAGGACAGACTGTGGGGGCTATAGAAGTAAGTATGTGTGTGTGTATATATATATATATATACAGAGAGAGAGAGAGAGATAAATGGGTAGGGGAAGAGGTAGAGAAGAAGAGGTGAAGAAAACGGAGAAGAGAGAAAAGGAAAGATGTATATATGTATGCATATACATGTAGAAATGAGTGCTTTGATGAATATAAAAGGTCCCAAAGCATATGTAGTTTGACCATTTATGGACCGCAGAGAGCCAGAGCAGCTTTCTCTGGCAGAAATCCATCCCCACATTCAGTCAGCTGGACCCAAGGCATTGAAGGCAGCATGGGCAGATTACAGGCCAAGACCCACGGCGGCCACCATCTGGCCTTGGCACATCCAGCCCTGGTGCTTACCCTCCAGGAGCTCTGAAGTGACTGACAAATCCCCAGAGAAGAGACTTGTCTCCCCGAAAACCTCTGCTGTCAAGTTCTGAGGTTACAACAGGGCTGACTGTGCAACACAGATGGGTACCATGGCCGGCTCTGGGCCCATTTCCACTAAGGAAATATATTCATGATCCCTTCACATGTCCCATGCACCTCCCTACCATACTCCTGGGGAGTGGAGGCAATGGTAGTTTTAACAAACGAGCTTCTAAAGTCTTGGCTCTGCAAACAGTAGGTTCGTGAGAGTGGCTTCCATCTAGTAATTGGCTTACCCAAGCACTTTTTCAAACTCTCAGAGCCTACTAAAGGAGCCAGAGATAGGCAGATCCACACAGTCTTCAGGACCATCTTCAAGACTATTCAGGGCCACATAAAATTCTTAGGCTCGGATGCTGGTGAAGCCAGATGGACATCTGAGGAGTTAGGAGTTTGCCGCACACACTTCCGCCATGGTTCACCAACGAGCTCAGTGACAGCCACTGTCCTCTTGGCTCCTCTTCCCTCCATCTCATCCCAGGGGGGTCTCAGGGACATCCCAGCTTCCCCCTCTCTTGGGACACATTCTTGGTCACCCTGTGTCTTTTCCAGTTTTCTGGTGATCCACTCCTGAAATCAGAAAGTAACCCAAAGGCATTCACCTCAAACACTGTGATGAGGTCATGCTGGACAGTGCAGGTCTAGACACTAAGGGCCTGGGGCCACCTGGCTTGGCTTGTCCCCACACTTCACGCTGAGATTAAAGGTGCTAAGACATACTTGAACCTACCGGATAATCACACATTAGAGGGAAAGGACGCTTTGTCATGGGTGCACATACATTTACTGGATGGACTCAAAGGCTAGCAGCACTGAGAAGACCGATTATTAGCAGAGCAGAGCCAGGAAGCCACGCAGTCAGCACCAGCATTTGAGGGATGGGAAGATTCAGCCAACCGCAAGTCAGAAGACTCCAGACAGCTCAGGCTGTGTTGGGCATGCCCACACTTCCCATGTCATTATCCCTTACAGTAGTGAGCAGGATTTATGTGGTTTTCACACTGCACTGGGCGTCCAAGTCTTCTAGCGATGATGTCAACTGTGTGGGAGGGTGAGCGAGACAGGGACACCAACACCGCTTTACACGGGGGACCTGAGCATGCCATTTATGGCGTCCAAGGAGGGTCCTGAAGCCAACTCCCATAGACACCAAGGCAAAACCGTACATTTAAAGGTGGCTGGGAGTGTGTGTGTGTGTGTTGGTTTGTTCTTTCCTCTGTTTGAGACGGGGTGCTCCTGGCTGTCCTCAAACTCTCCACGAAGCTAAGAATGACCTGATCTTCCTGCCTCTACCTCTTCAGGGCTGGGCTTACAGGTGTGCTCAATCAGACCTAGCTTATACAGATCGGAGCTCCGTGTATGCTAGGCATGTTGAGCTACAGCCCGACCTAGCTCCAGTGTGTGTGAGTGAAAGATGCTCGCAGAAGCCATAGGCTATTAAATTAGAGTCCCGGTACTAGCACAGGATAGGAGGCTCTGGAGGCCCAGAACAGGACAGGCTGCTGCACTGTGACCGCTTGCCCACCAGAACCAGATCCTACTGCTGATGACACCACGTGGCCAAAGGACAAAGGAAAATCAAGCAGGAGCTAAAGGCCTCCTCCTGGCTGGCCAGGCTGCATGGTGCCCAAAGGTGCCTGGGCAGTGCAGAACTGTCCTCGGCGGTCATATTCAGAAGGGGACCCTGCATGCCGTGCTGCTGACAGACCAGGCAGGATGGATTCCTGTGACAATGCCAAGTCTGTGATGGCCAGATGCTTTATGACCGGATGTGAGGCCTGCCTGAGATGTGAGGAAATTCACATCTCACCGTGTAAGCCTGCTCAAAAGCCAGTGGCCAGGGTGGGTCCCAATGGGGAAGCTACCACTGTTGCTTTATGAAATGGACATAGTGTGCCTGGTAAAATACCTATAAAGAGCAGCCAGATGATGGCGGCACACACCTCGAATCCCAGAGCTTGGAAGGCAGAGGCAGGTAGATCTCTGTGAGTTTGAGGTCAGCCTGGAATACAGCATGAGTTCTAGGATAGCCAAGGCTGTTACAATGAAAAACCCTGTCTTGTTTACAGGCAGAGAGGCAGACAGACACCATCATCAGGACCAAAGACTATTCATGGCTCAGATGCTGGTGAAGCCAGACAGACCTCTGAGGATAAATACATATACGTGTGTGTGTGTGTGTGTGTGTGTGTGTGTGTGTGTGTGTGTGTGTG